TCCTGGATGAGCTGCACCACGGGGTGAACACACAGGCGACAAACGGGAGCTCGTTTTCGGAGGCATGTCAACTAGCAAATGGAGGAAAAATGGCAGTCACAGGAAACGGCCATGCTACGAGCTCTGGTGAGATGCTGGCTCTGAGCGGTCATTGTCAAGGTCGCAACGCTACAGCCCCCACCAGAGATGGGTCCTCCCCAGAGACCAGCCAGGTCCCATCACTACTGAGCTTGTGTTCAGGGGACAAGTTCAGGGGACATGTCAGTGTGAAGCCCCCAGGGATGTCCTGGGCAGGGTCCAGGGTGGGGACTCCAGTCAGCAGAGGACCCGGTCAACCAAGGGCAAGAACAGCAACGTGGAAGAGCCTGCAGAGCGGAGCCGGGAGACACAGACCTGCCGTCACAACCACGGCCTCAGCTGGTGCCGACCCAAGAGGAGACAGAGAAATGTGACCATCAGGGAAGTCTGAGCTTACGCTGGATCTCTGGTGACATCGAAGAAAAACTGTCTTTTTACTTATGATAATGGACCACAGCTTTTGTCTATAAAAGGTACTGAGCCACCTACTAAAATATTTACAGGTGAAATGATGGGATGCTGGATTCGCTCCAGAATAAACATCCAGGTGGGGGAGGGCAGTAGAGGAACCCAGCACGTCCGGGATCGCTTCAGCAGAGAGGCTCGTGACACTCTCTCTATTTCTGAATATACTGAAATTTTCCATAATTAAAAAGTAATGCCCATAATTGCCACCCAATGGGCTTCCAGAGTTGAACTCCACACTTCTACTTCATGAGCTCCCACAGAGTGAAATGAGATGCTCCTCTGGCAGATACTGGGCCAGAATTGCCAGTGCTGGTCCCCAGACGCCAGCCGTGACGTCCCCTGGCCGGGCCACCTCTTTTCCTCTTGGCTCTGCTCAGCCCCAGAGAGGCGCCCCATGGGGCCCGGGTGTCTTCGTTTTACAACTTCGTCCTGACCTGTCTCTGAGAGAATATGAGGGACCCTGTGTGCCCACCCCCACCCACCCCCGCTCAGCAACACTCTCCTGGAAGCCACTGTCCCCTCGCTCTCACGGACCCTGCCCCTTCACTGAGTGCTTCTCTCTGTGGCTTCACCCAGCCCCATGAAGCTGCCAACATTCAACCACTTTCACCCATGAAAAGGCCACTTCACGAGGTCCAGGCTGATGAGGCGGCCTCCCAGGGTTGACGACTTGACTAGGGCCCTCCCAGAACAACCTCCATGGGTCAGTACTGACTGAACCACCCTCTCCCTTCACGGGGACCCACAAACCCCACGGAGCCTCCACTGCCACAGCTTAGCACAGCGCAGGCTCAGGC